GTGTGGGTATAGATGAAAGAACATGATTAAGAACGAAAATATAGAAATGGCCGCAATTGAAGATAAGAAAAGAAGAGAGAAAATATATATAAACGGAAGACCTACAAATGCTCTGATTTAAAGATGTGATTATGAGACAAAGGCTCATGGAAAAGGAGTAGACACCTATGAAGATTTGGGAAAAGACTCTAAGAAAAGGCATAGAGTACTTGGAGCTAACGAAAGATTTGACACAAAACCGTGTGCAGTGGCATTCTAAGATTCATACAGCCGACTCCATTTAGTGGGATAAAACTTTTTTATTATTGATGATGAGCACTTCATATAATACACACACATATATTGCATAATTCTTTACATTTTTAAGCAGGTATCAAAACTATATTCTTATGAGAGAGATAATTACCTGCAGAGCCATTGTCGTATGCAAAGCAAGATTGTTAGCAGCAATTAGGATCAACTGTGAAATGGTTGTTATGATTTTGGGGTGGTCTTCTAGTTGGTGGTGGAGTGCATGGACGAGACTCACAAAGAATTTCTGTACATATGTATGAACTTCTTAGACGATTACAATGAACAATGACAATATAACATGGGTCCACTAGCACCACTACCACACAATATATATATATATATATATATATATATATATATATATATATATATATATATATGCGCCTATGTGTATGTTAATTTCCGTGATATCTGCAATATTTGGAGTTAGAGGTGATTTTCACAATGTTTTCAGTTGTTTATACGTTTTTTTATTTATAGTCATCGACTCAACGATTAATTAAATTTAAAAAAAAACAACTAATATAATTAAATAACAAAGTGTTGGAGAAAAAAAAGATGCATGTTTATCATTTTCTTTCAAGTTATTAATTGAACTCGACATGTAAACAACTTGTTTTGGTAAAGTTAATATTATCATACAGTGTGTGAATATAACATAAAATTAGAAGTTGGTGAATATAACATAAAATTAGAAGTTGATTTCTTTCTATTTTAAAAAGGGGACCAGCTAGTGGCTTCTTCACGTCAATCCATCATTCTGGGCTTGGAAAGACTCACAGAGGCATTTCTGCCTCCACTGACCACTATCGTATGATTCATCAACTCTAGAAACCGAACACGGGACGTGCCTTGTGGAATACAGGCCTGAAATTCATCTTCAACCACTAAACCACCCCATGGTGGTTGGAAGCTGATTTCCAATACCTTCATTTTTCATACAAAAAATGTGCTCTCAACAATATAAAAAAGAAAACAGTAAATCTTTTACAATAAAATCAAGAAAAAATTTGCTCGACTCCTAACAAAAAACTTATAAGAATAAAACGGTTTTACGCATGTGCTAAACTGTAATTGATATGTGTGACAACCCGTCCCTGATTTTAAGAGTTTTAAAGTTTTAATAAAGGATTTTACAAAAATGCCCTTTGAGGTACGCGCATTATTCGAGATTAATTGTTGTGTCATGCCATCTAAGATTTGTTTTCTTGACATATCCTTATAGTACTCGTCGCTACGGACGTGTGGACGCTGACGGTTCGTTATTTGGAGTTATAACGAAAAAGATTTTAAAGTTTGAAGTTTGGGCATTTTATAAATTTTATTATTAAAATTTGGATGGCCCAGATTTAATGAAGAATTAAATGGATGGCTTGGATGTAAGGAAAACAAAAATAAAATAATATAAAGTGAAAAGAAGGTTTTGTGTGTGTGTGTGTGCGCGTGAGAGGAAGAAACAGAGGACGGAGATTGGGCAGAAATGCCCAATCGGGACAAGAGAGAAGAAGGCATCAGTAGGGATTGAGAGAGGGAGAAGCCGGCCAATCGGAACAGGGGAAAGGAGGAAAGGAGAGAGGGCGAGAAGCGGAGGAAGAAGAACAGAGATGGGTTTTCAACCCATGACCCGCGCGGCGACCCGCTCCCGCAATGCCATTTTCCGACGGTTTTCCGTCCAAATTTATGGTCTTCTTCAACCTCCCATCAACCCCAAACACCTGAAAGACATCCGAGCATCCTAATTGACCCAAAAATCAATGACTTTCGTGGTGATTTCGCGAAGAACACCCACACGGGTGCCGCGACTTTCTTGTTCAAAATTCGCCCAATCCCGAAGCAATTTCTTTCAATTTCCACCACCCATACACTTCTCTTGAGGCCTAGAACAAAGCCCAAGCATTGGTTGGGACGGCGGAGTTGATTTGAAGGTCGAATTGGAACTCACCCAATTCTAGGGTCCGCACGGATTTTGGTGAAATTGAAGTGTTTCCAGGAAAAATTGGCCTTGGCCTCAGGTATAAAGTTTACTCTACTCATTGAGATCTTCAATTATGTATTTTTTGAGAATTTTTGGAAATAGTTGGATTTTCCGGCGAGCCGGCCGGCCGACCGCCACCCGCGGCGGCCCGTGCGGCGGCGCGTGGCCAATGGCCCGCCAATGTCATTCTTAGCATGTGTTTAAGGTTCTAGGTTCAATTTTGATAATTGATGGACGTAACTTGAGTAATTGAACCTAAATTCGTTTCGATTCGTGGTTAGGTGAAAATGTGAATTTACGATCCAACCGTCAGATCGTCACCAAACTTTGATACGTTGTAATACGTAATATTTGAGGATTATAGGAACTTACGGATCGGGAATCCGATTTACGGATATTGGGATTGGAGTTGTAAGTTCATAAAATAGAATGTTAACCGTCACTTGGTTTTGGAAATTGACGGAGATCCGACCGTTGGATGGTAATGAAATTTTAGGATGTTATTCTAGAGGTATATTGTGGACCTCTGGAAGTTATGGATTTGAAATCTGAGTTGCAGATCTTCCGGATCGAACTACGTAGTGACGTGTTTTATATAAGTTATATATTCTATTGATATGATTTCTGAGGTTGGATTTGATTATTATTTTAGGCGCCGATCGTCATGACGCATTGATGTGTGGTGTTAGGGAGTTGTTGGGCGAACTCCAGGTGAGTGGGCAGTATTTCTGTTTATACCTATATACTATTGATATTTTTCCCAGAAATTGAGTTTGAATGAACATACGTTTTCAAATGCCATGCATGCATATTATGAGATATGTGAATTGATAATTGATGCATATATATATATATATATATATATATGTGAATTTGTGCTGTGGACGCACAGGTAAGTATCAGGTGAGTTTTATGTTATTCATGTGAATCATTGATGATGCATATTATGTTGATAGCTCATAACCTGCAATCATGGTGTTAGTGCTTATATTATTCACCTCGCACCGCACGCTCACCTTGGATCCAAGTAGGTGCATGTCGTACAGACCATGAGAGGGTTCCGACTGATAGGTGACCTTAGATATGTGCACAGATTATTGATGAGAGAAGCACTATAGCGTATTATCACACCATTCATGTCGTACAGACTACTTCAGGTAGTTCCGACTTATATGCAGTGTAGTGCCGTACAGGTCACCGAGGTGACTCCGGTTAGATTGGATGTTGAGCTATAGAATTAACCGTACAGGATCAACTGCAGGGTCTCCGGTTAATTCATTATTTCACCTGTTACATTGATGCATCATTCATTCTGTTTTTGAAATTATAACATGGCATACTTTCTGGTTTTTGAGAAAAAATGATGATTTGAGATTCATGAAAAGTATTATGCTATTATGCTATTTTTCTGGGAAAGTACGGTTTTACAGCGAGGGGTTAGAAATGTTTTAAATGAAATGTTTTCGAAAAACTTTGTTTTACTGACCTACTCAATTTTGTTTTGCGCCCCTCCAGGTTCTAGATAGCAGAGATTTGGTGGCCATGAGGAATCCAACGGTGTTTTGACAGAATTCACAAAAGTAGGACTCACCCTCGGGTGTTTCATCTTAGTAATTGTATTTTTAAAGCTTCTGAACTGTGTAAATGGTTACGTCACTCTCACGTGACGGCCAGCATGCCCTCCTTCGGGATGGGGTGTGTCAATATGTAACTATAAAAATAACACTAGAAAGACAAGATAATGTATTTCTAGTATTTCCGTAACCATAAGTGGGTGCCCTTTTAAAAATAATAATTTATAATTAATAAAAGCTAAAAAGATGAGTAAAATTCGAAACTATTACAAATATTTTTCAAATCATATAATACATGCGTAGTTAATTTCATAACTTTTTGTTTGTGTGTGTGTAAACAATAATGCAACATGAAGAACACATGCATGGAAGTATATATATCATGTGATCGACTCTAGCTATTCATCGACCATCAACTTTTTGTGTTGGTGAGAAAGAATTAAATTCAAGAGTTTGATCATTTTTCTAGGTGAGAAATTTTTTAGTATGCCTGGAATATAGAGTGGTGCATCATATGTTATTATATAAGTAGAGAGAAATTTTATTTCAAATGTTATTTTTACTTTATAATGACATATGGTGTACCATCTCGTGTTCCGGATACATTGTAAAATCTCTCCTCCTATACAAAAAGGGAATTATGTCCTATTAAATTGCACAAACTGATTTAGGACTTGCTTTTTAATTGTATCAAAAAATGGTGCGGAAAATCAAGTTTTCTTTCAATTTTGCTTGTTGAATACAATTACTTACTGAAGTTTGAAGATCACAAAAGCATATAAATGATCCCAGGAGATCAATATCACAGCATATTAATAGTGAATGTCAAAATTATGTGTGGGATCGAAGCAACATTTACATCATCTGTAGTTTTTCTTGGTTTCAGCAAGTAATTATGGCTTTGTAGTTCTCTACCAACCAAGGCAGAGTCACTGTACATACATAAATTTGATGACAATTATAATTCTTTTATTGTAGGTAATATCACTATTTTATAAGTTACAATAAAGAAAATGGGGATTTGAATTTGAGGTGCAAAAGGTTGAAGAAAAAGACTTCTTTTTACATAATCAATCCATTACTACTTACGGTTAATCATCACGAGTCACCGCCAATACACACACATTGTACAATTAACAACAATTAATATTGGTGCATCTATACTAGTGAATAATGGATATTGATGTTTAGTAAAGGTAAAGTTGAGTTACATACGAATGAACCTTTATTTGGACATTAAGTATACAATAAATATGCAGTTATTGGCACTTCAAAAATGACATCCACACCCCTTTTTATACAACGTTTTCCCCGTATTTTTGTGAATTTGAAATGCATACCAAACTTATTTAAGTAATTAAGAAGGAAATTGTAGCAAGATGGAGTAGGCAAAATTGGACTGGCGATAAGGGTTTGATTAATCTTAATTAACCCACTGATGATAGCCATCTTGTGAATTGAGAAAAGCTGAAATTGCATAGAGGTCTACATCTTCGTGGTTTGGTTGAAATAACAAGTGATCACTGGTAGCACCCACATTTTTCCACTTTGCGGCTTCTGCATCCTCCCTTAGTACTAAATCCTCACACTTGGTTCCATTACCATGTCCAACAAAGTTCGAATCATCCACCACATAATTTCCAAATCCATTGATTTCGGCCTCGTGTGAAAGGCCATGGATGTAACTGTCGAAATCTCTTAGAAAACTCAACGACGAATTCTGATCACGATCATCTGAGATGTCTGATAGTGCCACCGGATTGGATTTCACTGGATTGGATTGACCATCTTCATCTTTGGAAGGATTAGAACAATAATTACCACGTTGATGATGACTATCGCCAGCATTAGGCGCTTGCTTGTTATTAATTATACGTTGAGGTCTTTCTTCTTGAATTCTCTTGCTCAAACTGATATTCCAGAAATTCTTGATTTCATTATCTGTTCGACCAGGCAATCTTCCGGCTATGAGAGACCACCTAATATATCAATGCGTCCACCATTATTATTTTTTAACTAATTTTGTACGTGTGCTTGGATCATAGAAATACACAATATAATCAAAAGCTTGGAGGACTAGTCTAAATTGCGGTTTGACCCCCTAAACTATTACCCCAGTTGAAATTAACCCCTAGAACTATTGTTTTGGTAAATTAACCCCTGAACTACTTAAATCAGCCAATTAACCCCTTGCCGTTTAATTTAATCCACTATTATGTCAAATTGAAGGGCAAATTAGTCTTTTCATCATCAATTTTTACTTATTAGCTATAACCACCAATAAAATAATGACACGTGGACACAGAATAATTCAAAAACTTATAGCATAGAAACATAAAGAAACGAAACGTTTACATACGGACCATTTCATATTATCATTACACATTTTATGTGTCCACATGTCATAATTTTATTGGTGATTATAAGTGACATGTAAGAATTGATGTTAAAATACTAATTTGCCCTTGAATTTGACAGAGTAATAGACATAATCTAACGACAAAGGGTTAATTGGCTTATTTCAAATAGTTCAGGAGGTTAATTCACCAAAAATATAGTTTACGGGGTCAATTTCAACTGGAGTAAGAGTTCACGGGGCCAAACGACAATTTATCCTTAATCTATTTGCATCAAATTTAATTATATAAAAAAAATTAAAAGCTATTGGTTAAAAATATTATAAAGTGAGTATTTAACCCAAAACCAATAAACAATGGACAGAGATGTTCAAGATAATTTAAACACTTATGCAAGGCTCCGATGTGAAATTTACTTTCTCAATATGTCTGCTTACATATGAGAATGTGAATAGTCTACTTCATATCATGTTATAGTTAATGTGAACATCCAACCCGAAATCAATTGGCAGTTAGTGGGAGACCTATCATGTAAACACTCTTGCAAGCCTTTGCTTCACCGTCTTGGGATTCACAGTATTAATGTGCAAAAATATGTCATACCTGTTTCCAAGAAGCTTGTGCAATCTGATAATGAGGTCTTCTTCTTCCGGAGAAATGTTGCCTCTCTTAACACCTGGTTTAAGATAATTCAACCATCGCAGTCTGCAACTCTTCCCACTTCGATTCAACCCTACAAATATATACAGTAACAATCAATTAAATGGTATTATATATGTATATTATCACCACGAAAACTAGTTTATTATGTAAATAAAAATAAAAACGTTCGCTATACGAACCAGCTTTTTTAGCAACATGTCTCCATTGTCCTTCTCCATGTGTTTTGACGTAGTCAGTAAGGACTTCATCTTCCTCAGCACACCATGCTCCTCTTTTTAGCCCGTCTGTATCACCGGATGGTTTTCTCCCCATCTCTCTCTCTCTCTCTCTTTCTCTCTCTCTCCTCTCTTTTTCTCTCTCTCTCCTCTCTCTCTGTATATAAATTTTCTGGGTGGAGAAATCATTGCATATTAGTGGGTATATATATAGGCCGATTGAGGAACTAAACTTTGGTTTCCGTTTTTGGAGTGAAGGTCCTAGAACAATAAATGTTTCTGAGATTTAGCGACTTAATGCAGTAATAAAACAAAAATATTTATAATTTACCAACTATATATGTTTGTGTGTTTTTTTTAATTTAAACGTGACTAGGTATTTTTTGACAATCGAGAGAAAGATAGAAAGAAAGAAAAAAAAAAGACCTAGAAAATAATGTTGTGTTTCCGATCAGTTTTGTCTTAAATGAATGAGCAGAAACATTAATGCAAACGACTAACTATATGGACCATATATAGATGTACTTGTTAAACCAGAGTTTGATTTTAACCAGTATATATTTACCCAGTAGAGCAATGTCGAGAATTACAGTATTTTGGTTGACATTCAGATGTACGCTTCACTGTCATGCATGCATATGGAATAATTTATCAGTACTGTAAAAGCTATTTTACATCTTAAGCTGGCTAGTCACAGTAGATATATGTGTGTGTGTTCTGGTTAGTCTCATATATATGTAGAAAGCTGCTAGGGTTTCAGTAGGGAAGGAAACCATACTGCATAAACGATGCCAGAGGTTCTGGACTCACGGTTGATACACACACACATATGTATATTTTTTTTATGACCGATGTTATTTAAACATACAAAAGTGACACACTTTTTATGCACCCTTTCATAAAGATGGGCCCAAACAATGGCATAGCCCCAGACGTATTGATTGAAGTAAAAATTCACACAACTAATTGTATCATGGCAAACCACCCACACCTATTGATTGCATGGGTAGTTAAGTGGGGACAGTATTGATGCAACTAGTGGTGACCGTGGTCTGCCTCTCTAAAAGTTTAACATAGTATCCAAGTGGGTTGGCCCGCATGATTGGGTTCATTTACAAACATGATCGACATGGAATTGGCTCTATGCGTGCCCCACCCACATGAGGTGAGAGGGGGGCGCGAATTGAACAAAATAAAAAGTCTCACATCAATATTTCACAAGATAAATCACAACTTATGTCAAGTAATTATACTTCTAATTGTATCGAGGTATTTTGCATAAAAACCCCACACATATTGATTGCAAGGTGATTAGTGTGAGGACAATATCAATGCAATTATTAGTTGACCACAACCAATCTTTCTGAAACTTTGATCGTACACCTCATACCTATTGATTGCATGAGTAATTAAGTGGGACATTGGTGATGCAATTAGTGGTGAACCGGGACTCATCTCTCTGAAACTTTAACAATACATATATCAGCAAATATGTCAATTTTATGTGTTTGAATGGTTTTATTTTCACACGCTATGAAAAAAAGGTTGACAATAACCATTAACATTAGTTTTACATGGTGAGTAAAGACTGGTAAGCTAATGAGATTGGTAAAACATATCCACCTCCTTAGCCACCCCCTTAGAGTTTATTCACCTCATTCTGTAGAACCAATATTGATAATTATTATCAATTTTTGTGAGGTATTAGTAGTTAGTACAATATGTTAGAAGAGGTATATTTTTATATTCCAATATTAGAATAAGTCTTAAGATCCAAACCCTAATGAAAAAAATGTGAGCAACAATGCGCAACACAACTTTCATTCTGTGTGGCTAGCCTTGCATGCGTAGATCATGCATGAGTAGTCATGACACTTAAACTCCCAATTGAATTCAATATCTAACCGATGGTCCAATCAACTATCCAATTGACCAACTACTTTTATTGGTGAGAATATCTGCCCTACCATGCTGGTCGATCATCCACTGCAAAAATTAAATAAAGAAATAGTTAAAAAAAAAAACCTAATCAGATAAATGGTTTTTGTGATGATAGGATATTCAAAAGATAACTTCAGTGTTAACGAAAATTATGATTTAAACTCTTGTGGTATAATTCGTTAATAAATTTAGTCCCAAAATAATATTTTAATTAAATGCAGAGATAAAAACGTATTTTTATCTCATTTTTTCTTTCTTTGCACCTTCTCTCCCCCATCTCTCTTCCTTCTGTCTCTGATTTGTATCTTCACCTTCCTCAAGTCTTTCTCTCTACGCCCAACCATTTGTATGGGTTTTCTGTTCAAACCAAATTAATTACTAGGATCACAAAAACAGAAAGTAGGACCACATTCACTTGCATCACTGCAGCCATTAGGCTTTCTTCGTTTTCCAGCACACCATGAAACAAAGGCAAGAAGTTTATATAAATCGTTTTGAAATTGTTTCATTATTTTTTAGAGAGTGTGTGTGTGAAAATACAAATTGGAATGTGGTTGAGATTTCCTATTTCCTGTCACCACAAGAAAGAATAGAGTAAAAATACAAATTACAAAGAGAAAGAAGAGAGACGATGAAGAAGATGCACACATGAAAGTACATTTTTATCCTGTACTTTTAATAGAAATATCATTTTTGGACTGAAATTTTTAGCAGACTACACCGCTAGGATTCAATCCTAATTTTTTTTAGCTCATATGCTATTTTTCGAATATCTTATAACCACAATAATCTTTTATCCAATTAGACCATAAAAAATGCTCTACGGGTACATATATGCACTGCGATAAATTAAATAAACTTACATATTCTCAAAGATTGCCCAATCATTAGAGCTATGTGGATCATTGACAAACAACGTAAGCCTATACAATGTGATTATATCGATGTGTATCTATAATATCCTATACTTGTCACCTATGAAATGTTGAACAATTCAAGGTTCATCTTTAAAATTTGACAAATTTAAATAAAACTTATATTAAATGATTTTGCTTTTAATTGTATTGAAATTTTTTTTTGATAAAATTCTCATACGTATCATGTTGTGTGCATGGTCGTAGATACAATTCAAACCAAAACTTTCTAACTACTTTAAAAGGTGGTTTGAAGCAATGAACTTCTAGAACGTGATGACCATCGAACCTAAGATCAACTGGCAATGAGGTATACTAAAGTTATTTCTTTTAAGTCATTTTATAAAAGATATTTGCAGCAAACCCTCTTACGTGCATCTCCTTTTGCTCCTAACACATGAACAAACATGTGGGATGGTTAGACTAGCCACAGATAGATATCAAACAACAATATTTTCCTTAAGAGAAAACACAGATTTGGGCTCAAAAAATAACCATACAAACTAATCATAACGAGCCTAAGTAAATTGGGTTTGAGGGTTTACACCTTCACCTTGGGCCTTTAGATACTGTAGTAGGTAGCCCAACCAAACTATAGCCTTGTTATTTAATTGAACAAAAAAAAAGCATTTCATTCATATATTAGTGGATCATTTTTCTTTTTGATGACAGAATACATAATATATGTGTATATGGGTGCGTGGGGTAATAATTTTCACAATCTTATATTTTCACTTTTGCACTTCTATTCATGTTCTTTAATTTTTCATTAATATATTCAATTCAAAATTTAAAAATAAAGCACTAGCATAAAGAGAAAATTCGAGTGCAAAAATCGTTATCTATATACACATAAGTCTGTGTACTATGATCGAGTGATATCTCTCTCCAGATCTATATACATTGAATTATGCTTATGTTAAAAGGAGAAAAATTAGGCAAGATTATTTCTCCGGAAATACACATAAGTATGATATTTAGTACTAATGTCTAATGGTATGTCTCATTACTTGTAAGTGGGAGATATTAAATTTGACTCTTATAAATTACGAGTTCAATATTGACATGCACATTGTGTGGACTTAAACCCAAATCTTTTCATATATTGTTATATTAAAAAATTTATATACACATAAGTATAGATAGGGGATAAGATTTCACTGGTGACCAAATATGTTACAACTTTTAAAAGACAAAAGTCACCATAAAAATATGATAGTGTCATGTAGGCCGAGTAAGGTTAAAAGCTTATTGTGTACACAATAGAAAAGATCAAAGTGTGTTTATTGGATACAGGGAGAGCAAAGTCTAACAAGTGATCAAATACCCAAAAAAAACTAATACAAAAAAATGTAGGATAATGCTATTCATACACCTATTTTTACCGCTTACACAATTTGTGGCCATTTTTCTTCTTCAACGTATCAATCTAACAGCCAAAAATTGAAAAGCATATGTAAGAAATAAACATAGGTATATGAATAGTACTATTCAAAATGTATTATAGGATTTTAAATTTGAAAAAAAAAAGATTGAAAATAAAAGAAGGTCTGACCAAAAGCGACAAGGCTTGAGTTGGGTCAAGTGGTGAAGTCACTCCCATAATCTCTCCAATGCATTTGGGGTTTGGCATTGCAAATTTGCAAATTCCCCCTCCTGTCCAATAATGTTTCAAAGGGGGGTTCTACATCTCCCAAGTCCCATCCCATGTGCTTGCTTTTTCGCATATGGGACTTATCTTCATCGTCCACATATTCCCTTTCCAAAACTCCTATCATCTTCCCCATCTATTAATGTGTCGCACGTTTCCAGGGCTAGTTTCGGAGTGCTGTATTTTTTTTCTAAACTGTTTTTGATGTGCTATACTGTAATAATAAATAGTATTAAAAAATTAGGTAAATGTTTGGTAAGCTATAATGCTAAAGGGATGTGATATCTACACATATTTTTTTACTTCTCTCACACCCTTTTAATTTTCGGCCATTGGATCAGATGAATTGAAGAATATCAAATAATAGAAATTAATAAGGGGGTAAAAAGGGGTGTGTGGATAGCACACCCCATGCTAAAAGTACGTTTAGCAAAACAAAGATGAGAGTATGATAGTTAATATGAAAATTTCATTAACTGGTATTGTTTACCTACCTCTAATGGAAAAAAGGTTTTTTTAGAAAGCCTGTGTAGAGCTGTTTTTGCTTTCCACAATTTTGGATCTATAATTTTGAAGAAAAAAACACTTTTTTTTTTCATTTACCAAACACAACTAAGACCCTAGCTTTTTTAAGAAAGTGCTTTTAGGCAACCCCATACCAACTCTTAGGCAATAGATTCTCATATGAATATCCTTCTATTTTGATTAAACTATTGCACATGAAATCTGAAC